TGCATTAGGCAAATCTGCTGCACAGGAACTTTTTAAAGTGTTGAAGAGCAGAGATGTCAGCTTGAGGACTAAGGTGTGCCTCACCCAAGCCATGGTATTTTCAATAACCTCATATGGATGCGAAAGCTGGACAGTGAATAAAGATCGTAGAAGAATTGATGCCTTTGAGTTTTGGTGTTGGAGGAGAATACTAAAGTGCCATGGGCTGCCAAAAGAACCAATAGATCTGTTTTGGAAGAAGTAAAGCTAGAGTTCTCCTTAGAGGCCAAGATGGCTAAACTTTGTCTCTCATACTTTGGACATATTGTCAGGAGGGAACAGTCGCTGGAGAAGGATATCATGCTTGGTAAGATGAAGGGTCGGAGAAAGAGAGGACAGGACGACCCCCTAAGGAATGGATTGGCCAGGTGGTTTCATTGATGGACTCAAGTGTCACAGCAGTAGTGAGGTTGGCCCAGAATCGGACATTATTTCGTTCTGCTGTGCATGGGGTCGCTACGAGTCCATTCCGACTCGATGGCACCTGACAACAACACTTCTCCTCAGTCCTTAAGACTGGCAGAGGTCAAAGAATAACCTTTGGTTCTCTTGGCTATAACTGTGTTTGTATGACCATCCAACTGATGTCAGTCTGATCTCAACCTCTATCCACAACCATCTTTGAATGAACAATTGAAGATCTAAAACACTGTATTTTCACTTTCTAGTCCAAATCTACTTTTCCTCCTGTATTATGTATGATTACCACCTGTTCACCTGAATAACCAGATAGTTGGATTTCTTTTTTTTGTTATTCCCGTCTAAGCATGCAATAATTCTCAGATCTGTTTCCCTTTATATCCCCTTAGCACAGGTCCTCTTTAGCTCCTGTATAGACTATAATTAGCTGCTGTCATGCCTGGCATGTCATGATAAAGCATGAGATAACCAACTCCTTGTAAGGAACTGCTTATAGTACTTATTTTTCAATGTATTGGTAGTATAAGACTGCTAACTTCAAGGTCGGTGGTTCAAACCCACCAGCCACTCCTCAGAAACACTATACAAGGTCTATGTGAGTCAGAACCAACTAGACGACACTTAAAATAACAAAGTAAGAAAGCAAAAAGAAGGGTTAGCTCTATTCTCTTTGACTAAATCCCAATAATTAAAGATTTTCTAGGTATAAGCCTATGTGCACTATGTACCCATACCAACTCTGTTCCACAACACATTTTTTCCCTAGCAGTTTTCTGAACAAAAGTATATTTTAATGATCTTACCTAAATCCACCCCAAGTTTTGGAGGGAGGACTCTGGGAATATTTTCTAGCAACCCTCCTCCAGTAATATGGGCAAAGGCCTTGACATGTCCTGAACGCAGAACAGGTAACAGTGTCTGACTGTAGATTCTGGTTGGCGTTAGAAGTAATTGTCCTGTATATGAGAGAGAAAAAAAAAACAAAAATAATTTTGCAATAGAGGTATATTGTGATCTTCTACAGAAAAACCAATTTCATAATGAACAACAAAATCATAGTACCCGTTCTACCTTCAAATAACCAGAGACTAATGCCATCAAGCTGTTGCTCAAACATTCCCAAGCAAGAGAGTTTGAATGTGAGTAAGTTTACCTAAAGTCTGGTCACCACAACCATCAGGTGCTGGAGAGGAGTACTGGAGGGAAGATTTCTCCACAATTTTCCTCACAAGACTAAATCCATTGCTATGAAGACCAGAGGAAGCTATTCCAATAACCATATCCCCTTCAGTGACTCTGTCCAAGTGTGGAAGTTTCTGGTCCCGTTCCATGGCACCAACAGCAAAACCAGCTAGGTCATATTCACCAGGAGGATACATGTTAGGCATTTCAGCTGTTTCACCTCCTGTTAAAAGGGTAATTCAAAAGCAACGAAATTATGTATTTATAAACCTACCTAGGAAATAGTGACATCAGTTACTCTTAGCATGAACAGTTTAACATGTGGCTACATTCTTAAAACTGCCAATAAAATTTACTATACTGATTAGACATAGACTCCTGGAGTGGCACACTGTAGGATCATTACAGGACTGAGAACATGAGTTTCCAGATGACAATATAGGCTTAGAGAAGTGATTCAAAGACATGGGTATAGACAGGAAGATTCTATTATTAGAAAATGCACTCTAAAAGATGGTTGAAAAGAGTTTTTGGCCTTGAGAAAGACTTATCAACAAAAATGGAACCATAAAGAATTAAAGAAACAGAAACCAAAACCAAACCTATCTGTTGTTCTTAATTGCCATCAAGTTGGTTTTGAGTCATAGCAATGTTGTAAAGGGCTTCTGAGGGAACATTTTTCTCCCCCTGGTAAGCTTGAACCACTGACCTTGTGGTTCACAGTTCAGTGTTTATCCTACAGAGCCACCACACTCCCCAAACCTATCTAGTTATTGTGTGCAATAGTCAGTAATTACCCTGCATAAGGTTTCAGAGGAGTGACTGGTTGAAGTGTCAACTTTGTGATTAGCAGTCAAGAGGTTATCCTACAGTGTCACGTACCAAGATTCCACTATAGGATCAAATTGACATAGGACAAAAGATTACATAGGTAACTTAGAGGAGAGTAAATTTATATTAATGGGAGAAGAACAATTTAGAAAATGAAAGCAAGAATGCTTTTATAATTTAAAAGAATGTTATCAATATCACTGAATTGGAAATGCAAAAATTGTTGGAATTGGTGTATGCTCTGCTGTGTGCATTCAACAACAAAAAACTAGTTACTTGGCTAACCTACAAATTCATTCTGCTCAAAGTTCTCACATACACATTTAAGCAATATTTCTATAAAGATCAAGTACATTTCATTCTTAATGCCCCTCTGTAAGAAAACATGACCATTCTGCCTTTGCTGCAGGACCAGTGAGGAGTAAACAGTCCTTGCGCCAGGCTGATCAGGGGACTGCCAAGAAAGATGGTGATGGGAAAGGTGGCCAAAGATAAAAGTCAGCCTGGTAGACAGTGGGAATAGGTCTCAGGGATAAACCCTTGAGTAGGGGTTTGAGGTGAGGGTACCAGGGTCTAGGTTTTCTTCAAAGTATTATTACCTACAGTTTACTAAACTCATTCTGTGATCTACAGTATCTCTTGCTAGCCATACTGATGGCAATCACATCTATGTTAAAATGTTTAAAAAAAAAAAAAAGGATATATGATTAAAATGGACGATAATACCAAGGAGAGCACATCCAGCTTTTCCACAAGCTTTAGCGATACCAGCGATAACAGCTTCTGTCGTATTGAGGTTGAGCTTTCCACAGGAAAAGTAGTCAAGGAAGAAGAGGGGTTCTGCTCCTTGTGCCAGAATATCGTTTACACACATGGCTACCAGATCTTGACCAACGGTATCATGTTTATTACACTGCTGTGCGATCTACAAAAACACAATATAAATATCCACCGAAGAGAATTATATCATGTCAGTTTCCAATGGATACTAATAAATACCACTGACTTTTGGCTAGCCTCTTTAATACCTAAAGATGAACACTAAAAACAAAACCAGTTGCTGTCTAGCAGATTCTGACTCATGGTGTTGCTGGGTAGTAGAACAGTGCATAGGGTTTTCATGGCTGTTACTCTTCAGAAGCATATCACCAGGGTTTTCTTACAAGGCACCCCTGTTGTTGTTGTTAAGTGCCGTAGAGTCGGTTTCGACTCACAGTGACCCTGGTACAGGGTTTTCAAGGAGCAGCTGGTGAGCTTTAAACACCGACCTTGCAGTTCAAATGGCTTTGCAGTCTGGTGCATTAACCCACAGTGCCACACCAGGACTCTGACAAGGCAACCCTGGTGGTGGTTATGTGCCATGGAGTCGGTTCCGAATCATAGTGACCCTGTACAGGGTTTTCAAGGAGCAGCTGGTGAGCTTTAAACACCGACCTTGCAGTTCAAATGGCTTTGCAGTCTGGCGCATTAACCCACAGCGCCATACCAGGACTCTGACAAGGCAACCCTGGTGGTGGTTATGTGCCATGGAGTCGGTTCTGACTCTTAGTGACCCTGTACAGGGTTTCTGAGGCTGTAAATCTTTACGGGAGAAGAAAGCCTCATCTTTATCCCGTGTAACAGCTGGTAGTTTCGAACTGCTAACTTTGAGGGTCACAGTCCGATTCGTAACCATGTTTAAATTGCCAACTTGCCAGTTAAGTCAAGTGCTTAACTTTTGCTTCACCCATGGGCTTCTAAAAGAACACTAAATCTAAACAATCTACTTGGCTCTAAAAACAACACCCTTTTTTTAAAAAAAAAACACCTAAAATACTCTGCCATGTAAACATAGCCTTTAATAATAGCGTTGTCAGAAATGTAGACATTCTAGCCACATATTATGGTTACTTGGTATAGTTCTTTTTAGCTCATATATGTCAAAAGAGGAAAATATGTATCTGATATACAGAAAGTTCCCTCTTCACTTTCATAACAGCCTCTACTCACACAGGTGTCTGATTACCTTCAGCTTAGTTCCAACACCGTCTGTTCCAGAGGCCAGAAGAGGATCTTTGAAACCAGCTGCTTTCAAGTCAAAAAGACCAGCAAATCCTCCAAGATCAACGTCACAGCCTATTGGATAAAATGATTAATTACTTGTTATATTTTAGCAATTAGTTAAACATAATACTTGCTCTTAAAATGGCTAAAATCATTCGTGAGAATGGTTACAAAACCATTATAAAAACTGTTCAAGAAAGTAATTCCATATGAAAAGGTCATGTTACGTACTTAATATAGTATCATGGATAAGAAATGCTTTCTTTAGTAATATTAAGGATAAGAAAGAAAACTAGGGGATTAAGACTTCATAACAACCTGGCATAATCTGGAACATTTCCTTCAATTAAATATAAAGTCCCAGTCAATTCATAATATGTCAAATTTAATGAATTAGCTAAGTCGGGATCTGATTTACCTGGCCTGGAAGTAGCTTTTGCTAAAGGCTTAATTTTCTTGACCAGCATATTTCCAGCTTCAATGTCTACTCCAGATTCCTTATAAGTCATGCTCCTAAAGAATTAAAGAAACAGAAAACAAAATGAAACCTAGAGGCTAAATGCCAGGAGAAATGATTCTAGCCTTAAAATATTACTTAAAGCAAAAGCTATACCAAGTGGTTTTCAAATCCTTTAAGGTACTCAAAACTAATTTGTCACAATTGTTCTGTTCAATTTTGATATGGGCAGGAGTGTAAAAACCAAGGCAAAATTAAAGAAAAAGATTAGGATGATAACTCTACAAAGAAATCTCTAAACACATATTCAAATTCTTACTCTGTTGTTGTGAAGTGCCGTTGAGTCAGTTCCGACCCCTAGCGACCCTGTATAGGGTTTCCGAGGAGTGACTGGCGAGCTTGAACCACCAACCTTGCAATTCAAACATCTTTGCAGTCTGGCGCATTAACTCACAGCGCCACACCAGGACTCTGTAGACTGTATAAAGCCCTCGAAGTCATTTGGCCTGGCCCTCCCAAGGCAACTGAAGTTCCGGCCATCAGATAGTTATTGTTAAGTGCAGTCTAGTCGGTTCCCAAATCATAGCAACCCTGTCTGTATAGGGTTTTTGAGAAGTGGTGGGTGAATTTAAACCATCAACCTTGCAGTTCAAACCAACCTTGAGGTCGGGTGCCATCAGCTCACAGTGCCACACCAGCCATTACGTTTTTAAGTGCCATTGAGTCGGTTCTGACCCATAGTGTCCCTGTGTAGGGTTTCCAAGGAGCACCTGGTGAGCTTGAACCAATGACCTTGTGGTACAAAGCGACTCTGCAGTCTCGTGCATTAGCCCACACCAGGACTCCCATCACATTAGGGGTGAATTAATTAAATGCTTGGTCATATATAGCAGGCTAATTTTTTTAAAAAAAGTTTTTATTGTGAATTGAGTAATATTTTATATGGAAGAACATCAGTTTTGCACTCATTGTTTCATTGCAATGATTATAATCCTCTCCATGCATTTGTTCAACAGTATTTGTTTCTATTCCCTGTTTCTTTTTGTTGTTGTTGTTATGTACACAAAAACACTCAGAAATATATAATCAACCAAAGGACACATTCTGCAAGCAGCAGGCTATTTTTAAAGTTTATAACTGTATAGCCGGTGAATGCTGTTACAAATTTTGGCAGTAAAAAGGTTCTCCACCCCAGTTATAGCTGATGATAGGAAAAAAACAAACAAAATAATGACCAGCTAGTTATTTACAGAATCACTCCATCTGATATAGCCTAAGATTGCTATGAGTAGGAACTGACTAAACAGCACGTAACAACAAGGTCATCACATTTGAAGTGGTATACTTAAAGATCAAATTCACGAACAGCGATGTGGGCTCAGTAATCTTGCTCTGCAAAAATGAGATAACTTGGCCAATGGGATCCAGTAATACATGAAGAAATGATGTGAAGTTAGCAGTCCGGAGTCACTTTTAGAAAGGAAACAACAGTCCTACTGATTTAAAAAACCTTTTCTCTTGGTAACAACTGGAATTTTTGCCCTCTCATTTTTTTCATCTTTAAGCAAAAAGACTGCAATTAAGGTTGTAGTCAGTTAAAATAGGTCATTTCTACATAATTCAAGTCATTTAAAAATGAAAAACAAATTTTTAGTGTAATTCTAAAATAATTCCAGGATTTAAACATGCACCTAATGAGCATTTTTTGTTGTTTAGTTCGGTCAAGTTGGTTCTGACTCAACAGAGGCCTGTGTAGGGTTTCCAAGGAATGGCTAGTGGGTTTGAATTGACTACCATGCAGTTAATTAGCAGTCCAGTGCTTATCCTACAGCAACTTAACAGGACTCCTTAATGTGATATGTATTTGAAAAAAATCCAAACACCTATATTTGCAATGAATACTTTTTTGAGTTTTACAAGAGACTAACTGTACATACCAATAAAAGAATTAATTAAGGGTCAAAAATAAATTTTAATAATAGATATAAAGGCAGTGACCACTGAAACTACTAAAATTTACAATATAATCAAATCGTTACAAAAATTAGCTGATCAAAATCCTAATCTTCAATTCTTTTGACACAACTAGAAAGTATAAATACACAATAATATTCAAGCACAAGATGTTATTAAGTGACACTGAGTCAGTTCTGATGCATAGCGATCTTATATAGGGTTTCCAAGGTTGTAAACTGTTATAGGAGCAGCAAACCTTATCTTTCTCCTGCCGAGTGGCGGTGGGCTCAAATTGCCAACCTTCTGGTTAGCAGCCCCAGTGCTTATCCTATAGTCACCATGCCACACCTTAAAAACATGATAACTATACGAATAAAAAGGAGTTCTGGTAGTGTAGTGGTTACACATTGGGCTGCTAATCTCATGGTCAGCAGTTCGAAACTACCAGCTGTTCTGTGGGAGAAAAATGAGGCTTTCAGCTCCCGTAAAGATTTACAGCCTTGGAAACCCTATACAGGGTCACTATGAGATCGACTCCACGGCACAAAACAATACGAATAAAAATACTTAATATCTTGTTTTATTTAAGTCAACTTTTCAGATATGTTACTTTCCATTTGCAACCAGTTTTGGTATAAACAATACATAGTGAATGGAATTCTCCACATAGCCATTGAAGCCAGCATTAAAATTGTTATAATCATTTCTGGAAGAGAAGTTTACCTGGACTGGTGGAGAAAGGCTATGGCACGATAGCCAATGTCCTTCCTATAAACGGCTCCCTCGAACTTTATGGCAGCCAGTCCTTTCTTAGCTTCTTTAAGTGCTGACAGGAGATCTCTCTGGATGGCTGTTACTGTAAGGACTCTTCCCCCGTTAGTCACCACTTTGCCGTCTTTGAGGGCAGTGCCGGCTTGGAACACCTCAAGTCCTAACGCTTGAGCTTCAGAAAACCCTGTAAGAGAGCACATTTGACCTATTACCTGAAATAATATTTCACTCATGTGAAAGAATTTTCAATTTTCACTTGTTCTTTTTTCAAACCTTTTTATTACATTTAAACCCATCTTCACAAAAATTCCATTAGGTGGTAATGGACATAAATTCAAAACCAAGCCCACTGCTGTTAATAGAACTCAGAGCAATTCATAGGACAGAGAGAACTGCCCTATGGGGTTTCCAAGGCTGGAAATCTTTTTGGAAGCAGACTGCTAAATCTTTCTTCCATGGAGCATCTGGTGGAATTAAACTTTGGACTTTAAGCTAGCAGTCAAGTGATTAACCAGTGCACAACCAGGGCTCCTGGATTTAATGTAATACAACAGCAAACAAACTAGTGCCTTTTGGCTCTGTTCTGCTTTAAGGTGAAAAATGAATTCCTACAAACTTGGGTTCTCATAAATCTCACTATAATTCTGTGATGACTCAGAAAACATGCCTTTATAATGAAAATGCATTTTATTGATAATGTTCCATTTACTTTTCTATATTGCCATCAGTTCCCAGGCTCTGGGTGGATGGAAATGAAAGGTCACACTGGGTGATCCTCTGGAAACTTGGCTTAGGTTTTCCTTGTGTAGGAATGGAAATGGATGGCAGATTTTCAAACACAGTAATTTTGCATATTTGATCACACACATCCAACAAGCAACATGGTTAAGGATGTTTCATGCCCTTAAAAAGCAGCAGAGCCTGGGGAAGGACGTCCCCTATGGCACTGGCCATCTGTCACATTGTCATTCACTCTCTTGTTCCCTGATGCTCACCTGTGATCTCTACGCCTTTGGCGTAGTCTCCAGGATAACCTTTACTTGCCATGACAACAGTGATAGCAGTGCAGTTTTCCAGCCAAATGGGCATAGCTGTGCAGAGTAAGCCATCTAAGGTGGACTGGATCACTTCATAAAGGTCACTTTTAAGAAGTGGAAGGATTACCTGGATAAACATAAACATTATATCAAATCATATAAAATTTTAGTTTCCTTATTTTATTCACAGGGACACTAGTAAAACTTGCATATATTTTTCAAAGGTAATCATTTCCAGGGTCATAAATCCTATAATAAAAACAATCTAAGTCATCTACAAATGAACTTTTCATTATAGTGCATAATATTTTAAACTATCAAGACAGCAATATTAATGTTACCCACTTGACACTCTGGGTCACCAAAACGACAATTGAACTCCAGGACTTTTGGACCATCCTTGGTCAGCATTATGCCAGCATACAAAACACCTTTATTTAAAAACAAAAGAGAGAGAAACAAAGGAAGTCCATAGGAAGCCACTGCATCGTGCCTGAAATCTAGAATATTAACTTCCAACTCTCAAAGTTCCAGAATAACCTAATCACAGCAAACATTCAACAATGGTCAGTTAAAAAGACAAAATAGAAATGAAGTAACTGTGCCCAAGGTATAAAAGTTATCCTACAAAAAAATATCCATAATAATATATGCTTACCTGTGTATGGAGTACCTTCCTGCTGCATACCATCTACTGTGCGCTGAAGAATGGTATTTTTAATTTTTAGTAACATATCCTTAGAAATCTGGGGAATGTAAAGAAATATGTAAATGCAACTGATTGCATGTGTTGTTATTGTTAAGTGCTGTTGAGTCGGTTCTGACCTATAGTGATCCTATATAAGGTTTCCCAAGAAGTGGCTGGTGAGCTTGAACCACCGATTTTGTAGTTCAAACGGCTTTGCAATCTGGCCCAAAAGCCCACAGCACCACACCAGGACTCCAAATATACATAAAAACATATATACTACTTCCTCCACACAAACACACTTAAAAAAGCAATTCCTCAATACCTTGAGGAATTTTACACTCAAATTTTGATTTTTTATAGTAGTAAATACTCTAGTGGCAACTAAAAGCATTACCAGCTCCCTATTAGGACTAAGCTGATTTTTAAAAACCACCTCTTATCACCATATCTAATGGGACTCCTAGTGTGGTGCTGTAGAGTAAGCACTGGCCTTCAAGGTCAATTTCAATTATCAAGGTGGGTGGCTCAAACTCACCAGCTGATGCTGGGAAACCCCATACAGGGTCTATATGAGTCAGAATCAACTCTATAACACTTAACAACATCACCACACATAAAAATCTTCAGAAAAAGCTAAGAACAATTTTCCAAAACATAATGAGAGGAAAAACAGTCATCTCTCATTCCGAGGCTGCTTTGTCCTCACCCAGTATACCCTATGCATAGTTCAAATGCACACATGCTTTTGTTTGTAATGTCAAAATTACACTAATGGATAGTTATTATATTAAAATCAGTTACCAAATGGTAGTTTAAATAAGGATAGTCTTTAAAAAGAAGTTATGTATGGTTTTGTTCTTAGTATTCTAATAAACATGCAAAGGCCAATGTTATTAGCACAAATGATCATGACGATTCTCATTAAAGAGGGACGAGTTTCTGAAATGCTAATCTATTAAAAACATACTCAAAACAACTCAGTTTTCTCATAAATACAGTTCAGAAATTGTTTGGAAGCACATCTATTCTATTTTATGATGCAGTAGGACCAGAACAAATTATGATCTGACTTGACTTTCAATTCTTGTTTCTCTCACACACAAATATTTATTGAACTCATATATCCTGGGGTCCTATTATCTAAAATGAACAAAAGAGAGTTCATAGGTCCCCATGGATTAAAACAGGATATAGGGAAAAAGGATTACTTTAGCTTACCTCTTCAAAGGTTTTTACTAAAGGACTATTTTAGAGATATGGCCATTACCATAATGAATTCCAACGAAATGAGACCAAAAGAGAAACTATGTATTTAATAGAATAGACAACCTGTTGATTACTAATCTAATTTATAGAAAAAACCCCCAAAGCAAAACACAAACACTCAGAAAGAAAAACATGAATTAAGTTTTTCCAGAAGACCCAACTATTCTTGCACCCAGCTGGAACTCTTGTGACAAATACCTGAGGTGCTGGACAATAGGCTCCCATGCCCCCTGTGTTGGGGCCAAGATCTCCCTCCTGTAATCGCTTATGGTCCTGTGCTGGAGGCATAGGGGCAACAGTTCTTCCATCAGTGAAACACAGACACTGCAAAAACACATAAGAACAGTAAAAAATAACTACAGCAAATTACATATAAAGGGGCTTCAAAAGCTTTGCAGAAAATTTCAATTTTCTTTCAGTTCTATTTTCCAATGAACTTTTTGAAGGTCTACTTACTCTTTGCAGAAAAGTTTTAAGTATAATGAGTTTGAAAATAAATAGCCCTAAGCTATGTACATCAAGGGAGTCCTGGTGTGGCGCTGTAGGTTAATGCGCTAGACTGCAAAGTTGGTTTGAATCACAAGATCGGTGGTTCAAGTTCACCAGCTGCTCCTTGGAAACAGGGTCATTATGGGTTGGAATTGACTTAAAGGCACACAACATACATCAAGAACCAGAAAATCATTTATGTTATAATTTTTGAGTTAGGTTAAGGAAAAACAACGAACTTTTCAAACAAAATATTTCAACTTTAAGCTTCCTGGCATTAAATTTTTATTCAAGATGATTCTAATTCCATTATTTACAGTATAAGTAACTGTGAACTTCTGACAAGTTGTCAGACTAGGCAGATATACTAAACATACCATTTACCACAATGATATGAGAGACAAAATAAAGCACAGATAAAAACTGTGGCAGCCTGAACTTCTGAAGGTTAGAGGTGGATGGAGTGCTTGCTGGGAGGAGAGGCTGACCAGGGATGGAAAAAAAAAAGACTGGAAAACGGCTGGCCAGATATGGCTCAATCATCTTGTGAACAGCTTTGGCAGTGGAAGGAAGCCTGGCAGAGAAGATTTGCATGGGTGACAGAAAAGGTTCAATGTCTTCTTTTCCCCTACCATTCTCTGCCGACCAGCAGTGTGGCCAGTTCCCAGCCTCATCCACCTCCAGTGCAGACTCTGTCACTTGGTTGAGAGCCACCCACTGTGAGTGAGTTAGGGGCCTGGCTGCACCGTTCTGATGTGTGGGTTCGGCTCCAGAGCTACAAACCCGCGGAGCTACCAGACAGCATTTAAAAAAACCACGGCCCCAGATTCCCTGAGGTCCTAATAGATGGAAAGCAGCTCCACCAAAGGCCCCCAAGAACTACTTCCAGATCGAGTGCTCTAACCACTGACAGTATAGATAATGTTGCAATATACAACAAGAAGGAGGTTAGCAGAGCAAACAAGGTAGAGAATGCAAGAGTTAAAGTGAATAATAGAGAATGCTGTTAATTTGGTACATGGAACGGACTGTAATCATGTAATGAAGCAAAGTACACAATTTTCTAAAATGTAAAACTGATGATCTACCTGTAAACGTTCACTTAATTCATAATAAAAACTTAAAAAAAAAAAAAAATGTGGAAACAAAAAAGCATGAATGTTTGGATTAATCCAAAACCCACAATGTGTGATAGAAGTCAGTATTACCCAAACAGGAGGCACAATGAAAACATTTTTTCCTTACATTTGCATTTCAAATAAAAAATTTCTTTCCAACTACTGGGAAGCAACTAGAACAATTCAAGTGGGACTCAGAAGAGTCCTGATATGGTGCTGTAGGATAAGCACTGGACAGCAATGTCAGTTTGAACTGCAAGGTGGACTTCAAATCCACCAGCTACTCCTTGGAAACCCTATACTGGATCGTTATGAGTCTGGAACCAACTGGATGGTGGAGTCCTGGTATGGTGCAGTAGGTTAACACTAAAACACTAACCACAAGGGTTGGCAGTTCAAACCCACAAGCCACTCTTCAGACTCTATAAATCAGGGGTGGGAACAGTTGGCTTATGTCCTATATAAGGCCGGCGAAACCATTTGATCTGGCTCTTCCAAGGCAACAGCAATTCTAGCCATCAAACTGCTGTTGTTTGGTTCTGACTCATAAGGATCCTCTATAGGGTTTCTGAGGAAGAGCTGATGAGTTTGCACTGCAAACCTTGAGGTTTAAACAAACTTTTGAGGTTGAGTGCTTATCCTATTGCCACCAGGACGCTGCGATCACATTTGTTATTGTTAAGTGCAATCAAGTGGGTTCTGAAGCACAATACCCCTACATAAGAGTATCCGAAGAGTGGCTTGTGAGCATGAACCACTGACCTGAAGGTTCAAACAGACTTTGCAGCCCAGTGCATTAACCCACAGCACTATTATCAGCCATCATACTGTTGTTGTTGTTAAGTGCCAGTGAGTCAGTTCCAACCCATTGCGAACCTGTACAGGGTTTCCCAGGAGCTTCTGGTGAGCTTGAACTGCTGATCTTGCAGTTCAAATGGCTTTGCAGTCTGGCGCATTAACCCACAGTGCCACACCAGGACTCCAGCTATCACACTGTTGTTTTTGTTAGGTGCCATCGACTCGGTACTGCCACATAGCAACCTTATACTCAGTAGAAACACTGCCCGATCCTGGGCCAACCTCACTACTGTTGCCACACTTCAGTCCACTGACGCTGCCACTTGGCCAATCTATCTCGTTGAGGGTGTTCCTCTTTTTCTCTGACCCACCACCTTACTAAACATGGTATCCTTCTCCAGCGACTGTTCCCTCCTGACAACATGTCTGAAGTATGAGATGAAGTATGAGAGATGAAGTTTGGCCATCTTGGCCTCCAAGGAGCATTCTGGCTGCACTTCTTCCAAAACAGATCTATTGGTTCTTTTGGTAGTCCATGGCACTTTCAAATATTTGCCTCCAACACCATAACTCAAAAGCATCAATTCTTCTACAGTCTTCCTTATTCACGGTCTAGCTTTTAAATGCATATGAGGTTATTAAATATACCATGGCTTGGGTCAGGCATACCTTAGTTCTCAAGCTGACATCTCTGCTCTTCACCTCTTTATATGTCATTTGATTTATTGACTGCTGCTTCTGTGGGTGTTGATAGTTGATCCAAGAAGAATGAAGTCCTTGACAACTTCAGTCTTTTCTCCTTGATAAGAATGTTGTTTATTGGTCCAGTGGTAAGAATTTGTTTTCTTTACATTGAAATGTAGCTATCAAACTGTTGTGGTTGTCGTCAGGTGCCATCGAGTCGGAACTGACTCACAGCGACCCCATGCACAGCAGAACGAAACAATGTCCAATCCTGGGCCAACCTCACTACCGCCGCCACACTTGACGCCATCAATGATGTCACCTGGCTGATCCATCTCGTTGGGGGTCTTCCTCTTTTTCTCTGACCCTCCACCTTACCCAGCATGACATCCTTCTTCAGCGACTTGTTCTCTCCGGACAATGCGTCCAAAGTAGGAGAGACGAAGCTTAGCCATCTTGGCCTCCAAGGAGCACTCTGGTTGTACTTCTTCCAAAAGAGATCTATTGGTTCTTTTGGCAGTCCACGGCACCTTCAGTACTCTCCTCCAACACCACAACTCAAAGGCATCAATTCTTCTACGATCTTCCTTATTCACTGTCCAGATTTCACATCCATATGAGGTTATTGAAAATACCATGGCTTGGGTCAGGCGCACCTTAGTCCTCAAGCTGACATCTCTGCTCTTCAGTACTTTGAAAAGCTTCTGTGCAGCAGATTTGCCCAATGCAATACGTCATCTGATCTCTTGACTGCTGCTTCCGTGAGTGTTGACAGTTGACCCAAGAAGAATAAAGTCCTTGATAACGTCAATCTTTTCTCCATTGATAAGAATGCTGTTTATTGGTCCAGTGGTGAGTTAATTAAACGTTTAAATGTTTGACCAAATATAGCAGGCTAATTTTTAAGTTGATTATTTTGTATGGCCTGCAAATGATGTTATAAATTTTGGTAGGAAAAAGGTTTCCCACTTCTGCCATAAAGGGTCACAATGATTCAGAAAAAACTCAATGACTCTCGTTGTTGTGCCATCTAGTTGGTTTTGACTCATAGCAATCCTGTATAGGGTTTTCGAGGAGTGACTGGTGAGCTTTAACTATTGACCTCATGACTCAAAACGACCTTTCAGTACAGCACATTAACCTGCAGCGCCATACCAGGACTCCTGCCACTGAACAAGGTAAGTCAGATAACATAGTTACTTATATGCCATAAACACCAAAATAAAAGGTGAGTTATATACATACAGATATTTCTTCTCCTTCAAGAAGTTCTTCAATGACAATTGTTTCTCCAGCTGCTCCAAAAGCTTTGTCCTGATTGCAGATTTTAACAATAACAAAAGGTCAGAATATATCTAAGCATTTAATATTTACTTAGTTGACTTCTGTGTTTTACCATTTAGATCATGAACCAACATACTGATGCACAACACGTAGTATATATGCAATATATTAACTTGCCCTTTTTGAAAGCCTCAAAGAAACAAACAGAGGTTTATTTTTAAAGCAGCAACAGCACTAGTATAGATGAAATGATTGCATCACTAATACTTTCAAGTAAGGTAATGCGAAAATACGCTTTTGCTATCACAAAGTAATCTTTTTTCTGATTACAATTAGGTATGTCTGCCTATAATAATTATCTCAAAGCATGCCTCTGAAAGCAGGTTTATATGAAGGAAAAAACATCAACAACCAAGATGGATCAAGACAGAAAAACAAAGTACACTAATCACTGCTTTACTTCTTTTAGACTTGGGATATACTGGAAACATACTTTTGTCATTATGGCTAATTTGAGAATTTACTTCTATTCTCCATAGTATTTTCTGTTCTTTTATCAATAGGTTAAGGATGCTGTAACTTATTTCAAAACAACTGAGTCAGATTTAGTCACCAGTGTAGATCTGTAATACCCTTTTATCAAGATGATTATATATACTGTCACGAATAATATATCAACTATATGTTTACCAGATGTATCTTGAGGAACATTTATTACACTAAAGGACTATTTTTTTAAATAAATCCACTTATTATCTAGAATAGGCAAATGTATAGAAACCAAAGTTTCAAAGTGGTTAGCAGTGACAGGCAGACAGGAAGGGGAAATGGAGCTCACTGCTTAAGGGACATGGAGCTTCCATTGAGGAGGATGGGAAAACTGGGAAATGTACAATGGTAATGGTTGAGAAACATGACGAATGTAAGTAAGGAGTTCTGGTAGCATAGTGGTTAAGAAACGAGCTGCTAACCCCAAGGTCAGCGGTTAGAAACTACCAGCTGTTCCGCGGGAGAAAGATGATGCTTTCTGATCCCATAAAGATTTACAGCCTCGGAAATCCTGTGCAGGTTCACTATGAGTCGGAACCGACTCCATGATACTTAACAAACAACCATTATACATGTAAGAAATGTTAAAATGGCAAATGTATTGTTATATATATGCTTACAAAAAATAGAAAACCAAACTGTCCCAAAAGAATCAACCTACTTGCATGATATCCTGTACAGCTTTACAGGCCTCTTCTTTGCTCTTTGCAACAATCACCCCTTTCCCAGCAGCAAGACCACTGGCCTTTACAACCAGAGCAGGAAAGTCAGCACTGTGAAGACAGACTAAACTTCAACACCAGACAAATCCTTACAATCTCAATTTTTAAAAAGGACTTAAGTAATGCTTTATCACCAAATGTTACATATCACGGGCTTTTTCCCGTGTACTTCTTTGCAGTTGAGAATATAATAGCAAATTCAGCTTTGTTTTCACTCATTGCTACAGCAGAGGATTTTTCAGTTATTAAAATAAGTTTTGAAAGAATAAAGCAGATGTATAGAGTGGACATGGAAAATTGTTCAGCTATCTTATTGATGTATCTAAAGTGGCTACATTAAGACAAATATGAAGATATAGACACAGACCACTTTTGGAAATCTACACAAAAAACTGCTATTGATAGTGTCTCTGCTGAATGGTACTGTGGATTTGGAAACAGACTTAACTCTTACTTACTCAGGGCATATGGCTACTACTAAATAATCATATTTAGTACCTAAGAAATCCTGTAAATCGTAAGGAATAAAACGAACTCAAATGAAAGAATACATACTAAGTATCAGGAAGAAGTGCCAGTATACACACACACACAAAAGGGGGCAAAAGCATGTGTCCACCAACGTTCACTCACTGCTCAATGTTCTCCACATTAGAGTACAAGAGATTTATCATTTTAAGATTTAGACCTGGATTGGTGGTAGCAAAAGGAGATAATTTTCACTCTCTGTTGATTTGGTTGTGAAAATAATGGCACACAATTGCAGAATGAAAAAACATTTTTATCTCTCTGAGAGTAACTCAGTAATACATATGGTCACAAGATCATATAAAAATATAGGTATACCCATCCATAGGTATGAAGTTGATTCCAGTTCAACCCATCTCATTATGATGCTAGAAAAAACCAACCTACCTATTATTTATTATGAGTTTCATTTTCTCTCTAACCATCTTAGTGTAAACTTGTGCTTAAGGACCTAGCATTACATTTTTTAAAAAAAAGTTTTTACTGTGAATTGAGTGACAGTTTTTACATGGGAGAACATTGGTTTTATACCATTGTCTAACTGCAATGATTACAATCTCCTCCATACATCAACATTCAACAGTACTTGCTTCTATTCTGGTGTTTTTTTGGGTCTGTGTGTTAGTGTTTGGGGGATGGGGAAGGGGACATACAGAAAAAACACTCATGAATATGTAATTTAAACAACCCTAGCATTACATTTTGAACACAAAAGTATTTAAATATCATGACAAAACAACTGCCCTTCCTAGACAGCCTTTGATCTACCTCATGATAAAGTTGCAGGCTTCTTCAGGTTTGGTGAAAGCTCTCCATTTTGCAGTTGGGATTCCATGTCGATCCATAAACTCTTTGGCAAACTTTTTACTGGACTCTAACTGAGCTGCTTCTGTGGTGGGGCCAAAGCATCGCACTCCTGCAGATGTTAGGTTCCCAACAATTCCTATTCAGAGAACAAGGTCCTAAGTAAACCAAGGGCTTTTAACACTGAGGACAAATTCTGATTAGACTTGAGACTCCATTTCAAGGTTCAGCTATACATAGTAGATGACTGGTTTCAAGCTGTCTACTAAATACAAGGGGGCTGGAAAAACTCTTTGAAACTCCCTAGTATAAACAAAAAATTTAAATCCATCACAAGTTATTTGAATTATTAAATGAGGATCGAACCCAGCCTACTTGTCTCTAATACATAGGTGACATTCATCCAAAGGTGATAAATTTCAGGAAAGCAAGGGAACACAGAAAATTTGATTTTGCACTCATCACACTTTTTGAGATTAGATAATATTTAATTTCTTGTTGGCAGTGCACACAGAAATGAACAGAATAAACATAAATAAAAGTTACCAGCAGCCAGAGGTGCCTCTGGTCCAACAACAACAAATTCAATTTTCTCAGTTTTGCAGAATTGAGCAAGGGCAGTGTGATCGGTGATCGAAATGGCTGCCAAGAAAGAAAATCCAAGTCATTCACAAACATTTGTTGTTCAAGCTAACAAAGTGTCATGCTAAAATCTAAGCATAGTATTTTCCTATGCCTGTTACCATTGGTTTTACTGCTATACATAAGAGTTTTATTGGGAGATATTCAGAACAGAGAGCATTTGCTTAACTATTGAAGCTCAGTTTATCATCGCTGCAGCCAGCTGGAAGAAAATCCCAGTTAACCTAACAGAGAGTTACAAAGTATTCTCTTGACGACTGTGTTTATGTCACAGGTGCTGATTATATAGTATACAGAAAGTATGATAGGGCTTCAAAAATGTTGTTGAAAAATTCCATAATCCCAATTCCATTTTTCCATAAGCATTTTTTTTTTTAACAATTAAAAAAAATTTTATTGTGAACTGAGTGGTAGTTTATATGGGAGAACATTGGCTTCACACCATTGTTTCATTGCAATGATTATACAATCTCCTCTGTGCATCACTATTCAACAGTATTTGCTTCCATTCCCTCTGTTTTGTTTTTTCTTCTACACCTTTTTTGGGGAGTGAGGAGATGTACACAAAAACACTCAGGAATATATAATAATTTAAACAACCAAAGGGCACATTCTGCAAGCCTGTCTCCTGGCTGTCAGTACTCAGTCACTCTCTTTCCATGAGTCACCAGTCCTCAGCTGCTCTTACTCTCCATGCCCTCATTTCTATCTCCATCTCTGGTGTCATTGCTTCTCTGGATAGGGTTCCATTTTCAAGCTGTGCTCTTCTTCCTTGATGGCCCTAGGGTCCTCTGTCTGGACTTTAACTTTAAGATTAACTACTGCCCAAATTTTGTTCCTTTACAGTTGTGACAGTCACAATTAGTCATGATAACAATTATTCACTATTGAATCAGAAGAATCTTATACCCTCACTTTTTACTAGACCCAGCTAGACCAGATGAAAACTATTCAATGGGGACTCTATCTTCCCCTGCCCACTCTTAAACTAAACTCTCTCTTGAAAACTTGTAAGCCAGTTACTTCATGCCTTTATCACCACTAATTTTTTTTTAACATTTTATTGTGAGTTATATAATAGTTTACATGAGAGAACTTTAGTTTCCATAAGATTTTTGAAGACACCTCACACAAGTATCATAGAATGGACTCAGAAAAGGTTGTTGTATGTTACTCACTTAAAATTTATTAAGAACCCACTACATTCTAGGATTTCAAAGTTAGTTTGAACTGCAAGGTTAGTGGTTCAAGTTCACCAGCCAACTCCTTGGAAACTTTACATAGGGTCGATATGGGTCAGAACCAACTCAATGGTACTGGACAACAAGCATTCTAGATAGGAGTCCTGGAACTGCAATGAATAAGTATCCGGTTTTTAATTGAAAGGCTGGTGGCTCAAAGCCAACAGCAATTTTGTAGAAGACAAGACTTGGCAAGTTGCTCATGTAAAGATTGTTGTTAAGTGCTGTTGCGTCAGTTCTGACTGATAGCAATTCTACACAGGGTTCCTGAGGGAGCAGTGGGTTTGATTTGCTGACCTTGAATTTAGTAGTCTAGTGCTTCTTCTACTAGACCTCCCCTGTAAAGATTACAGGATAGGAAACCTCATGGGTCACTTCTACTCTGTCTTATGGGATTGCTAAGTCAGAATCAACTCATAGGCACACGACACGTACTAGATTAGTCTTTCAGACTAAGACTATATAGAACGGCCTAGCAAGTGTCTAAAAATCCGCAAATGAAAACCCTATGGGTCAACTGGCCATGGGATGGTGTAGCCGTTGTTGCAATTGGCGCAGGACCTCCATACGTGGAGGTTCTAACCAGAGGGGCAGGTAACAGACATCTTCTAGGTACTATCCTAGCCAGTGGAGCTAAGATAATAACATAAACAGGGCCTCTACACTTAAAATGGAGTCCTGGTGTGGTGCTGTGGGTTAATGCATCAGACTGCAGTTATTTGAACTGCAAGGTCAGTGGTTCAAGCTCACCAGCTGCTCCTTGGAAACCCTATACATGGTCGCTATGGTTCAGAATTGACTAGACAACACTTAACAACACTTACAATGCTTACTTACACAAGGTAATAAATTTCCAAACAAGTAACGAAGAGATATGAGGTGGATTGGGAGACTATTTCCGACTGAATTATGACGGTTCTCTTTGAGGCAAAGATTTTTAAATTAAGAATTGATTAATAATTTTAGGTTAAGACTTCACCACCAATCTACACACCAACTAAAATTTCTTTTCTGATGCAGTGCTAAGTAGCCAACAGTAGCACCAATCACAACTAAGTATGGGTCTCAGAGGTGCTGCTCTCCTGCTTTACTGTATCTGAACTGCCCTCCTTGACTTGGCTGAAGCCTTCAGTCATTCTGCACACAGTTATAGGGTTGTGGTTATTGAAGGGACATCAGTTCTTACAGCACCCCTGAATAAGGTTTCTAAGGCTCTAAATCTTGACAGGAGCAGTCCCATCTTTCTCTCTCGAAAACAGGGTATATAAGATGTAATATTTGTGATGTGTAAGGTACATGGCTAGAAAGAGTAACAAGTTCTCAATCTACAGGAACTGTCTGACTGAGGTAGGGATGGAGCACCACCTGTTCTGGATTAATAATTCCACATACAACTAACTGTGTGGAGTTGTTGTTGTTGTTATGTGCCATGGAGTCAGTTCCGACTCATAGAACCCTGCACAGGGTTTCTGAGGCTGTAAATCTTTTACTGGAGCAGAACGCCTCGTCTTTCTCTCACAGAGCCGCTGGTGGTTTCGAACTGTTGACCGTGAGGTTGGCAGCCTGATTCGTAACCACTACACTACCAGAGCTCCTTAACTGTGTGGAGTAGAGCTTACTATTTCAGTACCTGTGAAACAAACTCAAGAGTACACACCTAACCTTGGAAGCTGCCTGTGGTAGTACTCTCTTAACAATATGAGTGTATTTTGATGGGTGTTTTAGATGATGTCAATTAAATCATTAATATACCAATTCTTCCATGAACAGGTACAATACTTCACACCAAGAGCTAGAGAAGCAGATGTTTCCTTAATTGTCTTATTAGCTTTGATCCTATGTATACAATTATCTTCTTGAAGTCTGTGGCTTGCGTGGTGATGTTTTTGTCTCCATAGATAACTATGTGCCACAGAGTGTAAAACAAGATACCTTCCTGTTCCTTGCCTTCATGTAGCTTACATTTTGGGGAAAGGGGGAATTGAAAATAGAAAGGTAAAGAGCAAAAAATAAGCAGTGACATATGAAACGGGGGTGGAAACTTATTGGTTAGATAGTCCACAAAAGTTTACTCAACATTTAAGTTGAAGCTTGAATGGTGCTGCATCAAGCATGCTATGGGGTGGAAGCTAATGCTGAGTTCAAGGCAGCTTTGTTGGAAATTGGCAGGACAGCACAGATGAAGCACAGCAAGACAAATAAGTAAAAAGCTTACTGGAAAGCCAGGAAGAGGCCAGATCACAAAGTCTTTGCAAGACACAATACAGGGTTTGGCTTTATTCTAACCGGTACTGAAGCTACTGAAAAGTTTAATATAGTAATATAGTACATTAACTTTAACTAGTCATTTCTCCACCTTTGCAATAGAAAAGATAAGGGATGAGATCTATTATGGAGTTAGAAATTGCTAAGATTAATATTTTGAGAGCACTACTTAACTTTTTACTTTCCAAAATATACACCAAAATGCCTCTAACCTATATTAAACACGTGTTACTTCTTTAATGAATATATCATATAAGATACAAGTTTACAATAATTTAAAATAGGATACCGAAGTTTACTATATATGCAAGCATTCAAATTACCAGGTAAAACTCCAAGTTTACTAAATAAAAAAATCTGAATATCAACCTATTAGAAAGGACAGATGTGGTTGACAGTTTATCAAAAGCAAATGGTGCTTCAGGATAAAGCACTGGGGTGAAAGGTAGGTCTGAACCCCAAGGTCGGTGGTTCAAAACTCATCAGCCACTCCTTGGAAACCCTGTACAGTGTCACCCTGAGTCAGAAGCGACTAGACAGCAGTAAACCACAACAGCAACTCCCCCTTTAAAAACCTGATTACCAGCATTTGAGATCTTTTCAGAACAGGCAGTGCCTGCATTTCCCGGAGCCACCAGCACTTGTTTGACATGATGAGACTGTGCAAGTTTCCAGGCCAGCGTGTGTTCCCTTCCTCCATTGCCAATTACAAGTACTTGGGTTGCCATTGCTGTCTGCAATGTAGGATCTGGGAGGAAATAAGAAAGCTGTAGAAAGAAAACAACAGTTGACATTTTAGGATGTACATGTTTTAGAAATTATGCTTGGTAAATGAATTCAAGAATTCCTTTTGAATATAAAAACTGGGATAAGTTGTTTACTTATTTACTTTTTTAAAGTTTTTTATTGTGACCTGAGTGATAGTTTACATAGGAGAACACTGGCTTTAAACCATGGATTCATTGCAATGATTACAATCTCCTCCATGCATCATCGTTCAACAGTATTTGCTTCTATTCTGTTTTATTGGGGGAAGGGGGGATGTACCCCTACCCAGTGCCCCTCTTTCCATGAGTCCAGAGTCCTCATCTCTGGTGGTCGCTGCTTCTCTGGATAGGGTCCCACATTCCACTCATGCTCTTTTCCCTTGATGGTCCTGTTTCTGGACTGTAAGATTAACTATTCCCCCATTTTTGTTTCAAAACTTCTACCTTTACAGTTGTGACAGTCACAGTTAATCATGGTAACAATTACTCATTATTGATCAAGGAATCTTATCCCCATCTCTTTTTACCAGACCCACCTATTGTTATGTGCTGTGGAGTAGGTTCCAACTCATAGCGACCCTTTACAAGGGTTTCTGAGGCTGTAAATTATTACGGGAGCAGAAAGCCTCATCTTTCTCCCATGGAACAGTTGGTAGTTTCGAACTGCTAACCCTGAGGTTAGCAGCCTGATTTGTAACCACTATGTTATCAGAGCTCCTTTTCAGACCCCTTGGAAACCCTATGGCTATGAGTTGGAACCAGCATGTAACAGCAGCAGCAAAGATGAAAACTCAGTGGGGATTCTACCTCCCCCTCCCCCCATCTTAAATTAAACTCCCTCTTGAAACGTTGTAATTTTAAGTAGCCCCTCCCTATCCACCCTGTAGGCAGATGGGATAGGATTAATACTTGATGTGAAGTCTCCTTTCCTCTCAGCTGGTATTTTGAGCTACTACATCCGCAAGTATTGGTTAGGTTCATCAAATTGTAGCAACTGGTTTACTTTATTAAAAAAATATATTTTTTTACCTTCCTCTAGTCAAGTTCGGATTATGAAGCCATAGAAGCTAGGTCAAACAGGTACTATCTGCAAGTTTGGGTGTTCTTGTGTCTCTTCCCTTACTTCTTATCAGCTGGATGCTTCACTCAGCTCTAGCCCTCTAAGGCTGTGTCCTTGCTCAGGAGTTCCTGATTCATAAATTTTTGACATTGACAAATGACTGTACTCACTAAAGTAAAGGCAATATTTTTAAATGAAGGGCATGTATACTAAAATACCTGCAATATACAGACATTTAAATCTAGATAACACATTTTCATTTATTGGAAATACAAGCAGCAGTGGCGTTATGGGTTTAGCACTTGACTGCTAACAGTAAGGTGGGCAGTTCAAATCCATCAGCCACTTCTTAGAAACCCTATGTTGCTCTTACATGCCAGAGTCGGTTGGTTCCGACTCATAGAGACCCTATTTTTCGATGTTGGGTTTGAACCACCGACGTATTGGTTCCCAATCCAGTGTTGATCCTACAGAGCCACACAAGGTTGCTGTGAGACGGAAGCGACTCGATGGCATTTTAATAAAAATGGTCATTGAAACAGCAATCAACATCACGGAGTTTAGGAGGCCGGGCTCCAGAGCCAGACTGCCTGGATTTGAGCTGAGACTCTGTTTTTTGTTTTTTTTTTTTTTGGGGGGGGGAAGGGCGCGGCGGGACAAGGGAGAACTTGAAAGCAACTTAATTAAACTTCTTACATCTAAAACGAGTAACTTAAAACGTTAACTAGAAAGCCAGGAAACGCTATTTTCTTAAAATTGTGAATTGAATGCAAGTTTACAGGAAAGAGCATCAGTTTTACATTCAACAAATCATAAACTTTGAGGAAATGCTATTTCAAAGGAGATGCTGAACTATCAAAACAAAACCCAATTGCAAAAGTGGACCTGGAGACAACAGATACCTAAGAACACATGATTAAACGGGTGCATCAACTGAAGTCCATGGCCTTTTTAAAAAACACACATATACGTATACAAACGAAAGGTAAAACCCTGCCTGGCATGTTAGAAAACATGAAAGTGAGAGATCCAATGGAAACACTAGTTGATAGCAAGTGAAAAGCACGTGGCCAACTCTCCCACCCACCGAATTCAGAAATACAGATGAACATCTCCATAGCCAAGTCCGTTCCCACTGTCCTACTTCACTCCTGACATTCAAGATCCCGGCGCCCCAGCTCTAAAAGTAGAAGGGGCTTGTTTACATACCCACACGAAGCACAACGCTCCAACTCGCAGACTCGCTGGCGCGCTCCCGGCCCAGGGTGGCTGGCGGCGGAAGTCGTCCGAACGGAAGCGGCGCGCAGCTCCTCCCCGCAACGCGGCCAGCGCCGCCTCCTCATTGGCCTGCGCGGTGTCGGTACCCGCGGAGGGCGAGGTAATCCAGTGTGGCTCCCGCCCCTAGGCGCGGCTTGAGCCTACTCCTGCCCAACGGCACCAAACAAAACACTTGCACGTTTATAATGCACCACTGCAACCTTGGGTGCCACGTAACGAGAACCGCCTGGGTTCTGAGTAAGGGGCGCTCCCAAAGCTGAGTCGAGATTTTAGTTCATTCTGCGATGCTAGTGTAGGATCCCAACTGACCGGCTATCACGGAGTCTGGTGATAACTTTGGCACCACTTCTAGACTGCACCAAAGTTTGACAGCAGGTTACTCAGGTCTTAGAGCTAAGTTGAGACCGACGATAGGATGCAATGGGAGGTAGACTGGGTGAAAGACTGTTCTCCCTCCGTTTTGCACACAATGGGGCGGAGACCGACTGGTTCTTTACCAGACGCATCCTCCTGACGAAACAACTTGGTGCTACACGGGAACACCTGTAGGCTGCCCCGTGTCAAAGCGTATTGCCCCTTACTTCATAGAATGTAATCTCTGGCATTCTAGTCGTTAAGTACACCTATTAAATCCACCAAAACGCTGTGGGCGAGTGATAACACGCAATCACCGTCGCCTCAAGAGAGGTTTCTTCTGTAATGGCGCCTGCGTCAGACACTAACATGGCTGCCATAGTCGTGCGCGGCGCAAACGTCAGCAGCTCTACCCCAGCCGCTCAGGAACAGCGGAGGAAAGCAGGGCATGCTCACTGATTGGGTCAACGGGGAAGCGTGCCCGTTCTAACGCTGTTACATGAGCCAATCAAGAAGGCGAGGGACGGAACTGGCCTCAGCGCCGCCTCCCGAGGCATGCTGGGAGCCTGGAGGACTAGCGAGGAGGAGTTGAGAGAACGGAGCGGACGCCATGGCGACCAACATCGAGCAGATTTTTAGGTCTTTCGTGGTCAGTAAATTCCGGGAAATTCAACAGGAGCTTTCAAGGTAAACTCTTCTCACACTCTTCTGCACCCGAGGGATCGTTAGGGCCCGATGTAGCCTTTTAGTGCGCCTTTCTTCATAGACGCCGTCGTTCCTCGGCTCAGGCCCCGCTACAGCCCCGCCTGGGCCCGGGATCCATTTTCCGGCTCCCCTCCCCCATCCTCTTCCTTCTTCGCTTCGAGGAATTTGACCCTTTACGATTTAATCCCAGGCTCCCTCATCCAGAACGGAGTCAAGGTGCTTGTCCTCCTCTCCCGCTTGGTCACCCCTTACGCTTTAGCGACTTGTCGGCCTGCTAGTCCGGCTCGGACGGGCCTACTTCCTCCCTCAGCTCCTCCTCTGCCGCCGCCGCGTCTCCCCTCCCCCTCTCCGTTTCCGCGGATTTTGCCGGCCGGTGCCGCTGACCGGAAGGGTCTCCAACGGCCGTTTCGTGGGTAATCTTAAATCCACTTTGTTATTGTAAGCCTAGGACCGTTTGGGAGTCTGGGTTCACGATCAGTTTATTGAGGCCCTAGTGTCTTACGAGTTCTACCCGGCAGCATTCTACTAGATAAGATTTCAATGGAAACGGCTTCAGTTCGTTAGCTATTTTGTCAAAATGCCGGAGGCGAGGATGGTGGGGGACTTCGGGAGAAGAGTCATTTTTAAAATTTTAGCGAATAGAAAGTAAGCTTTGTGTGTAGACTGGATTTTTTTCCTGCTCCGACTGAGAACTGACTGTCACCACGGAACTCTGACCGTCGCTGTTTGACGTTAAGCTTGGTCCTAGGAAAATTGAAAGAGATTTCCAAAGAAATAGCTGTTTACTCAGAAGGGACAGCAGTGTGGGTCGTGTTGTTCACTGGCTGCTACTTTCAAGAACCGAGCTAGGAAAGAAAGCTTGAGACTTAATATTTGTTTCAAGTGTAAATGTTTATGCCAAGTTGTATTTTAAAAGTTTAGATAGAGCTAGAGCAAATTATCCAATAAAATAAAATGCGCATTTGAAACTTGTCTAAAACGTGATTATAAATGAAGCTGCCGAATTAACGTGAGGTTGCTGGGGTAATGGAGTAACATTGCCAGAATTGTCCACAAAGTGTTATTTTAACAGGATTTATTTACTGGCCTTTTTTTTTTTTTTTAAGGGCAGTATCTGTTCGTTACATTGTATTTTAAATTTTTATATGCCAGTGTTTTCAGGATGATGAGAAAAAGAGCAAAGAATGTAATTTCCCTGCCAACTTTTATAGTTGCATGCAGTAAGTCGTGTGTTTGCTTAGAGTAATAAATCTTGCTTTTGTTAGCTATTAAAAATCAGTTTTTCCACTAGAAAATTACTTTACTAGTGTGAGATTTAGAAAGAGGGAACAGGAGGGGGGGAAAAAAAACTACCCAGGATTATTGGTTTACACCCCTTTCCTTGTGTAAATATACATGTGTGTGATCACGTTATATATATGATATGAAGCTTAATCTTTCTTTGTATTGTTTCCCACCTTAATGTCATGAACAAATTTGTCAAGACAACCTCAGTAGATTTTATGCAACATTTTTCATGACTGCATAGAAATTCTTTTTTGGCCACAATTTGGTGGATATTTAAATTATTTGAGATGTTCATTGCTTTTTGCTAGCTTTAATTTGCATCCTGGTAGCAATCATGAAAATTGATAAGTAAGATATGATTATGATAAAACTTCCTTATAGATTCCGGTTTTTTAAAAGTTTACTTTCTGATTTCCCAATCTGAAGTCCTTTATTGAGGTAATTAAGCAATTAAAAGTGTTTGGGAAAAGTATAATGCGGTACTCCAGAAAGTCTAAAAAGAATATTAGACAAAGCAATTCATTGCCAGGAGAATATGCAGCTTTTCGTCAAAATAAAATAAAATAAAAATGCAATAACAGTCTAAAAACAAAATTGGGATAATTTGTCATTTTCAGTGAAACCCTTCCCCCCATCTGTTGTTTATAGGTAACTCAGTGTCTGTAGTGAGGCTGGTTAGGTGTTTAAAATTAGTAAAATAACTGTCATAATACCCAAGCCAACCCACTGCTGTTGAGTTGATTCCGACTCATAGCAACTCTCTATGTCACAGTGAAACTGACGCATAGACTGTTGTAATCTTTGCCAGAAGACACATGTCTAATCTGACTGAGCACCTGTTTCTAATTTTTTTGGTTGGAAGGTGAGCGTTTTAACTGAAACACCACCAGGGATTCTATTATATTTAGTTGGTTAACAGGATGCTTTAGTTCCATCTCTTACTTAAAATTAGCTGTGTGACATTCAGCCACTTATTTTTTTCATTTATCATATCAATATGAGTTTAGAGGTTAGTTGGGATTGTATTATTTAAATATGAAGAACAGTGTGAGACTGATTTAGTAAATGCTAATTTTTACATAATTCATTGTATTAGAAAGCCCAAACATTCCTTAATAACATCTACCTATTGTTTGAACTGTAAGGTCGGCGGTTCAAGCTCACCAGTCACTCCTCGGAATCCTATACAAGGTCGCTATGGGTCGGAACCGACTCGAAGGCACTTAATGACAACAACACACACAATATTTTTACTTTTTGACCATTGAGACTTTTATTGGGTAATTGTTATGTTATTAGCAACAATTGAAATGAAAGGAAAAATAATTTGGAGATTTGCTTCAAAACAATTTTGATAATTTAGACAAAAATAGTAAAAATGAAAACAACTTTTGTTAAGATTCTCTAGCTCTATGCATCAGAAATATTGTTAGAACATTCACACATTTATTCTGGGTATATAATAAATTTTTGCTTGTTTTACATGAGATTTTTAAATGCTATAAAATCTTAATACCAGGATTTTTCGTAAGTTGGTTAAAATTTCATAAATTTCTTTTTATGTTTAAGCTATGGCATTCCATTGTTGTTTTATTCCATTGAGTCGGCTTGACTCATCACAACCCTGTATAAGAATTTCTGAGACTGACTGGAGGATTTGAACTGCCAGCTTTGGGGTTACCAGTCCAGTGCTTATCCTACAGTGCCACATCAGGGCGTATAGTATCCCATTAGTCTAAATCTGAACTGAGGCTGCAAATTACTCTTTTTACTCAATATGTTTATGGTTTTGTTCTTGGATTCTGTTGAAGTAGCTGTGATCTTTATATAAGCATAATTATGGCCATATTTTCTACCATAATGCTATGTCATATATATTTTTTCTTTGTTGATTGGCTCTACTATTTGTCTTCCCTGATAGAAATAAGTAAGTAACCCAGAAACTTTAATTTAGAATTTGGGGAGATGTTTTCTTTTAAAAGGAAAAAACAGGTGAGTTAGTTTCACAGCTTTGATAACTTTTAAATATTAAACATGTGTAACAGTGACAATGTACAACCTATAAGTTACAACAGCATTGGCAAGAATACCATCTGGAAAAATAAAACACCAAAATGAATTGTACAGAGAATTTGATAAGAGATTAATTAATTGAACTGTGAATTTTAATTTGTTTTATTGGATAGTGTATTAAAATTTTAATGAATTTTGATAACTTTTCTTGTCAAGTGGAAGGAATGAAGGCCAAGTGAATGGTGAAACCAGTACACCTATTGAAGGAAACCAAGCAGGTGATTCAGCTGCTTCTGCCAGGAGCCTACCAAATGAAGAGATAGTGCAAAAAATAGAGGAAGTACTTTCTGGAGTTTTAGATACAGAACTACGATATAAACCAGGTAAGTTGCAGATTATTCTCTGTCTCAAAAATGTTGTCTTATGGATTTATGTGTTTGTTTTTATCTGAATGTTAATAACTTGGTGTTGGCTGCAGGGATTGTAAATTTTCATTAGCACTAAAATTCTAATACATACAGGTTTTTGTTTGATTCATTGAAGACGCCTTTAAATATTTCTTTGAAAATGCTTTTGTACTAAAACATGATTATTGTTGCTCTACTTGCTTTGCTGGTGGAATATAACTTATTTCAGTTATATTTTGTTCCAGTGGTTAGAATTGTGGCTTTTGAAGTATAAATTAGCTAATTTCTCGTGTTACAAAGTAAACAATAATAGAAAGTGACTAATCTTGCTTGGGTATATGTCTTGTTATACCCCCCTTATGTATTTGGTGACCTGGATTTCAGATAAGAGTTTTGTGAGATCACTGAGGTTTATATGCGTATTGGCATTAGATTAAATACCATCTGGTTATAAAATAAATGATAAACCACATTCTTGGTTGTTGTGTGCCATCAAGTCAGTCTGACTCCTAGCGAGTGTATCTAGAGTTTCTGAGACCATCTGGTGGTTTGAAATATCAACCTTGAGGTTAGTAGTGAAGTGTTTATCCTACAGCACTACACCAGGGCTCAACATTATTCTTTGCCGTATGCAAATTAAAACCTTAAATGACTTATTAAAGGCTACTAGAATTTTATTCCCCCAATTTTTTTTAAAAAATTGAAACATTAAAATAAAATAATCCTTGGTAAGTTTGGAAGAGTATTGTTGAAAAGATTTTAAAGTGGAGTCTAACTAAGGGGTGTGATAGAATAAAATTTGAGCAGTCAGGAAATCAAACGACATATTGCATTAGGCAAATCTGCTGCACAAGACCTTTTTAAAGTGTTGAAGAGCCAAGATGTCAGTTTTAGAACTAAGGTGCACCTGACCCAAGCCATGGAATGTTCAATAACCTCATATGCATGCAAAAGCTGGACAGTGAATAAGGAGGACCGCAGAAGAATTGATGCTTTTGAGTTATGGTGTTGGAGGAGAATATTGAAAGTGCCATGGGCTGCCAAAAGAACCAACAGATCTGTGTTGGAAGAAGTGCAGCCAGAGTGCTCCTTGGAGGCCAAGATGGCCAAACTTCATCTCTCAGATTTCAGATATATTGTCAGGAGGGACCAGTCGCTGGAGAAGAATATCATGTTTGGTAAGGTGGAGGGTCAGAGAAAAAGAGGAAGACCCTTATTGAGATGGATTGGCCAAGTGGCAGCATCGATGGACTCAAATGTGGCAATAGTAGTGAGGTTGGCCCAGGATCGGGTAGTGTTTCGTTCTGCTGTACATCAGGTCACTATGGGTCGGTACTGACTAGATGGCACCTAACAATAACAACAACAGTTGATTATGTTAATCACTAAGCCATTTGTATATGGTATGAAAACTACCATATTTTGTGAGAGCTTGATATGTCAGGTCTGGTTCAGTGTACCTCTGTGCTTTAACTCAGTCTTCTAACTGTAAGAGGCAGAGTCAGTAATCTGGCTTAGACTATTTATGTAGTAAGCGATGGATTGATTCCTACAGACTTTTTTAGTACTAGTACCAGTGCCATGTTGCTTTTATGTAAGCTGTTGTGATACGCTGTTGAGTTGATTCTGACTCATAGTACTACTATATAGAATTTCTGAGGAGTGGCAGGTGATTTTAAACTGTTGACCTTATGGTTAGTAGTGTTGTCCTTATTCTACAGCACTATACCAGGGTTCTTTCTATGTAAGTTGTTGTTAACTATCATTGAGTCAGTTCTGACTCATACCAAACCTGTGTAGAGTTTTTGAGGTGAATTTGAACTACTAACCTTATATTCCAGTGCTTATCTTATGGCATCAAAGGGGTTATAAATAATTTCAGTGTTCTCTGTGTTCGAAGTGACAACAGCAACTTGAAAGGTTACATGAGAAGTTTAGGGAGCAGTAAGCTTGGCACCATAGGATAAGCACTGGACCACCAGGTTGGTTTGAACTTCACGGTCAGCAGTTCAAACTCATGAACTATTCCTCAGAATCCCTACACAGGTTTACTGTGAGTCAGAACCGACCTCACCACCACCAAGCTTATATTGGAGTCCTGGTATGGTGCTGTAGGATAAGCACTGGACTACTAATTACAGGGTTGGCAGTTCAAACCCATCAGCCACTCCTCATAAGTCGTATGCAGAGTCACTATGAGTTGGAACTGACTCTACAAAACTTAGCAACAAGTTTATATTAATGGTGGAGGAATAATTTGGAGAAATGTAACAAGAATGGTTGCACAACTTAAAGGATGTGATCAATGCCACTGAATTATACACTGACTTTTTGAAGCTCTCTTGTAAGGTAGCTTTGTGTTTTATTAAGACACATGTAAGTGCTGGTGTGGCGCTGCAGGATAATGCACTTGGACCACAAGATTGGTTTGAACTGCAAGGTTGGCAGTTCAGACTCACCAGGTGCTCCTCGGAAACCCTATAGAGGCATTGCTATGAGTTGGTACCCATTTGACAACAAAGATGTACATATATGGTATTTGTTGTTGTTGTTAAGTGCCATCGAGTCGGGTCCGACCCATAGCAACCCTATCCAGGGTTTCCGAGGGTGTAAATCTTTACGGGAGTAGAAAGCCTCATCTTTCTCCCGCGGAGCGGCTGGTAGTTTCGAACCGCTGACCTTAAGGTTCGCAGCCCGATTCGTAACCACTACGCTACCAGAGCTCCTTACATATATGGTATAAATGTGTGTAAATGTAAGAGTGTAGATGCATATCTTGTGAGTGTGCCATACTCTGTGGTGTGTTAACGTAGATTGTAAATCTTGGCTTATACTATTATTTCTAAAACTATTTTGGGAGATTTCTGACAAAATTGATTTCTTTTAATTTCAGATTTGAAGGAGGCCTCCAGGAAAAGTAGATGTGTGTCTGTACAAACAGATCCTACTGATGAAATTCCTGCCAAAAAGTCAAAGAAGCATAAAAAGCACAAAAATAAAAAGAAGAAAAAGAAGAAAGAAAAGGAGAAAAAATATAAAAGACAACCAGAAGAATCTGAGTCAAAGCCGAAATCTCATCATGATGGGAACATAGATGTAGAATCTGATTCCTATTTGAAGTTTGATTCTGAACCTACGGTGATGGCACTGGAGCATCCTGTAAGAGTGTTTGGCTTATCTGAGACCAGTGATTCCCCTGTAGTTATGTTTGAATCTCCTATAATATCAATGGAGGTATCAGAACAACAAAACTTAGAAACTCTGAAGCCAGCTACAAAAACTGCAGAACTGTCTGTTGCATCTACATCAGTAATTGCAGAGCAGCCAGCGCATTCTGTGGCAGTAACGCTGGAACCATCCATGACAAAGATTCTGGATACCTTTGCCACGGCACCAGTGCCTACTACAACACTAGGGCTGAAGTCGTCTGAGCCAGTTGTATCAATGTCAGTGGAGTATCAAATGAAGTCTGTGCTGAAACCATTGGAAAGCACATCTCCAGAGTCATCAAAGATCATGTTGGGAGAGCTTCCACTAGCAAAAGTGCCAGAGCCCACAGAAACCCTTGTAGAATCCTCAGAGACACCTACTGAGGTGCACCCTGAGCCAAGCACATCAACAACCATGGATTTTCCCGAGTCATCTGCACCTGACATGTTAAGATTGACAGAGCAGCCTGTAGAAGCACCACTGGAGATTGCAGATTCATCTGTGACAAGACCACAGGAGTTGCTGGAGCTGCCTAAGACAACAGCATTGGAGCTGCCGGAGTCGTCGGTGGCCTCAGTGATGGAATTGCCGGGGCCACCTGCGACCTCCATGCCGGAGTTGCAGGGGCCCCCCGTGACTCCAGTGCTGGAGTTACCTGGGCCCTCTGCTACCCCGGTGCCTGAGTTGCCAGGGCCCCCTTTTACCCCAGTGCCTGAGTTGATGGGGCCCCAAGCGACTGTAGTGTCTGAGTTGCCGGGGCCCTCTGTGACACCAGTGCCACAGTTGCTGCAGGAATTGCCAGGGCTCCCAGCATCATCTGTGGGGTTGGAGCCACCACAGGAGGTGCCAGAGCCACCTGTGATGGCACAGGAGTTGCCAGGGCTGCCTGTGGTGACAGCGGCAGTAGAGTTACCAGGGCAGCCTGTGGTAACAGTAGCAATGGAGGTGACCGAACAACCTGTGACGACGTCAGAGTTGGAGCACCCTGTGGGGATGACAACGGTGGAACATCCTGGACAGCCTGAGGTGACAACTGCAACAGGGTTGCTGGGGCAGCCTGAGGCAGCAATGGTGCTGGAGTTGCCAGGACAGCCAGTGGCAACAACAGCGCTGGAGTTGCCTGGGCAGCCTTCGGTGACTGGGGTGCCAGAGTTGCCAGGGCTGCCTTCGGCAACTAGGGCACTGGAGTTGTCAGGGCAGCCTGTGGCAACTGGGGCACTAGAGTTGTCTGGGCAGCTCATGGCATCTGGGGCACTGGAGTTCTCGGGGCAGCCTGGGGCAGCTGGAGCACTGGAGCTGTTGGGGCAGCCTCTGGCAACAGGGGTGCTGGAGTTGCCTGGGCAACCTGGGGCGCCAGAGTTGCCCGGGCAGCCTGTGGCAACTGTGGCGCTGGAGATTTCTGTCCAGTCTGTGGTGACAACATCGGAGCTGTCAACGATGACCGTGTCGCAGTCCTTGGAGGTGCCCTCGACGACAGCGCTGGAATCCTATAATACGGTAGCACAGGAGCTGCCTACTACATTAGTGGGGGAGACTTCTGTAACAGTAGGAGTGGACCCCTTGATGGCCCAAGAAACCCATATGTTAGCTTCTAACACTATGGAGACCCATATGTTAGCGTCCAACACTATGGACTCCCAGATGCTAGCATCCAACACCATGGACTCCCAGATGCTAGCGTCCAACACCATGGACTCCCAGATGTTAGCAACTAGCACCATGGATTCCCAGATGTTAGCAACTAGCTCCATGGACTCCCAGATGTTAGCAACTAGCTCCATGGACTCCCAGATGTTAGCGACCAGCACCATGGACTCCCAGATGTTAGCGACCAGCTCCATGGACTCCCAGATGCTAGCGACCAGCTCCATGGACTCCCAGATGCTAGCGAC